GTATGAGTTTTGACTTATTCTTTGGCCGTAAACGCAATTAAAAAAATAAATATTATTATTTAATTTACGATCATTTGTGATTTATTCGTTGTTCTGACCCATCCACCCAACTTAATCCTTCTCTCCATTACAACAGATTCTTTTACAAGAGTGAGGTGAATGTGAACGAATTAAAATTGGATGGGGTGCTCTGCATCGACCTCCTGAAGATCGCGGATCATTTTGGCATCAACGAGGTAACCTGGAAATTACAGAAACACATCTTAGAGAACAAATCTGAATGGTTGCATGACAATTTGGTTCAAATCATCAACAGAGTTTTCACAAGTGACGGTGATGAGAGAATTCGTCATCACCTAATTCACAAGATCAATTCCGACCCATGGCATCTATTGAACTCCAAAGATTTGGCCAATCTGAACGAACGGTGCTTTTCTTTTATCTAATTTAAAAAAGTTAAAGAGAACAATTGAGACTAAACAACAGAATATGTTATAGCAAACGAGTATTCTTATATTTTATCATTAATAAAGTTTATATAGTGTTATTATAATAAACCGAAAGTTTGTATAACTATATATAAATTTGATCTATTATAAAATTTGATAAAACGAAAATCTCGATAAGCCGAATAAATTATCTCTTCCCGCAACCTTCGGCTTATCGAGTTTCACTTGTAATAAGACAAAACGAATTAATATTTGTCCATATGCATGCAAATAAAAGATGCGGACCTTGTTTTCATCTAAATATTCTTCCTCATTTATATTACCGTTGTTGGCATCTTCGTCGCTTTTAATACCTTCCTCATTATTGGTACCATCATTATTGCTGCTACTGCCGTCTTCATTATTGACGCTATCATTATTGTTACTACCTTATTGCTGTTACTGCCGTCCTCGTTATTGACGCTATCATTATTGTTACTACCTTCCTCATCATCGGCATTTTCATTATTCTGCTGAACAGTAATTAAATTTTTAAATATGCATCCACAATTGATAAAAGACTAATTCAGAGTATTAATAATGTTACCTTTTGTCTTCCTCCATTCCTGACAAGGGTGTTTAATTCTTGGTGTACTTCCGCATTTGTTGAATGAATTTTATCACGAATTAACTATCTATCGGATAAAAGTTATCATAGTTAGTTGCGAACTTAGTTGAAAGTTTGTGATCGAACGCACCGATTTTTTTCCCAATATATGTGGCGTTGTTTCATTTTCGTCCGTGAAGAAATCATACTTGGTATGTTATGCATTTTAATAAAAAAAGATATATTAATGCATTTGTTTGTTAAAAGCTAATTAATGACCTTGAAGTGTGTTGTTGTTTACTCAATGGCCGGCCATCCCTAGACGATGACTTGCCAATTACTTGGCTTCCGATAGAACTCAGTTATCGCAGACGCCATGAGTACTCAACAAACACTAAACAACTTTGTATTCCGAAGTCAGCCGGCCACCCCTAGACGATGACTTGCCAATTACTTGGCTTCCGATAGAACTCGTTATCGCAGACGCGTCATTCGTTCTTAGCAAAGTTGTCGTAAATTATAGAAAAGAAATAAAAAAACTTGCCTCACTCGAAGAAAACACAAAACGGTTAACGGTTCTCTGGTTTTCTGGTTGTAGTGATATTTCAGATATTTATAACTTATTTACATGTAGCGTATGTTAAATTTGTGATCACGTGATGCTATTCACCCCTGCAGTTTCATGTTTAGTGCGACCTAAATATTTCACCACTTTGATATGCAAATCGCTTCGAAAGACGTTAGTATTGTCAATTTACATCAACAATGGTTGTTCTCAAAAATGTAGTCTTGTTAGAGATCAATTTTTTTTATAAATAAGGTCCGCTTGTCTTCTCTTTTTCAACCAATCATTGGAAATGGGCACTATTTGATCAATGCTTTTATTGTGCTTTAACATGAACTAGAGAAAACTAGGTTTAAAATTGTATTTAACATTAAATTGTAAATAGTATTATAAAATATCAAATTAGAATATACACAAATATTAGCAATTTCTTTTGTCTAATAAAAAAAATATTGAAAAGTAATGAAACTGATAAAAACAGAATAAAAAAATTAACCAAGTATTATTTAGATTTTTTTGTTTATTTTAATTTTTTTTTTCAACTATTAATTATTTTTATTTTATAAATTTTGTTTAAAATCCATATTTAATTATTAAAATACTTAAAAATAATTCTTTTAACAATTATTTTAAATAATGAATTTTATTAGTTTTAACAAAAATTAATAAAAAACTTAAATATAAAGAAAATTTAATATTAGATAATAAATTTTTTATATTTATAAATATTTTTTTATTTTTTTATATTTTAACTATAATCTAATTTTTTAAAAAGATTTATTTATACATTTGTAATTATTATTTCAAACAAAAAACAATATATTTATACTTTGATTAATAAATTTAATTAATAATATTGTGAAGATATAATAGTAAATCAATTATTAAAAATAATAAGACTTTATATAACTACTAATAATATATTGTAAATAACAATTAAAATTAATAAAATATATTTAATTTAATTAAATATTTTATTTTAAAACTTTTGATTATTTATTTTATTACTTTTTATTTTTTTTTTCTTATACAATATACTTTTTGTTTACAAAAATTAATATGTCTATATTTTCAAAAACAATAAATAAATTTTTAATAAAATTAAATATAAAAAATTATATATTCTTTTTATAATTTTTTTTCTTTACAAATTAAACAATATATATTAGACAAAACCAAATTTTTACAATATTATTTACAATAATTAATTACATAATATATATTATATATTAATTTATTCTATTATAAATATTAAATTTTTTAATATAACAAAAATTAAAAAGTTATAACTTCAATTAAATTAAAAATATTTTATTTTTTATTATTTTTTTTTTTTATAGTAGAATGGTATTAGATACAGGATTTTATTGAATAATAATTAATTTTAATTTTATATCAAATATTATCTATTGTTATTATAATAACTAAATGTTAACCTATCTACTTATTGCCTTAGCGATACTAGTAACACTTATGAAGTAAGTTCATATTTTTTGAGAGGAACCTATCTAGGAGATGGAAGTTCTATTACTAGTTTAAACCACCTAACCTACCAGTCCAATTTGAGAGGGCAGTTAATATTGCTAACTATTTCCTAAGGTTACTTATTACTATATATGTGGTGGAATTGAATTCAACCATTTTTCAAAAATCGTATTATGGTAGAATTACTAAGTAACATATAGTAAATAATTGGGATTCGTATTTAATTCGGAATCGTATTGTCGATCAAATTTTCTTTTATGGTAATACGACCACATGTATGCTTATCACATTACACCTTTTCACTTACATAGCTAATGTGGCAGAGGGGCTCAACGTGGATATGCACTCCCTAGTGAATGCTCCAGTTTTAATCTACTGGTTGGCACTAGCTGCCAAATTTAGGAGCTCTTGTGACCAAGTGAAGCATGACTTCTAATATCTCCTAGTAGACACTCCAGTTCAGAACTGGTTGGCATATACTGCCAAATCTAGAGGCATAAATGCCAAGCAGAATGCAACTCCTACATACATGGTAGAAGACCATGTATTCTTTAGATTTTGCATAAAATTTTGCTAAACGTGTAAGTACGATAATTCGTTTCTAGATTTATTATATTATAATGATTTAATGACTGATATTTATTTATGACATTAAGGTTATAATAATTATAATTATTATTATGATAACTATTATCATGATGACTATTATTTTATTTTTAGTACTTATGATTTCAATTTTGATTCCGATTATAATAATTATAATTATATTATGATTTTTATTTTTATTTTTATTTTTTCTATTTTGATTATTATTATTATTGTTGTTGTTGTTGTTATCATTACAATTATTATTTTTTTAATATTTATTAGTTTTTTTTAAGCTGAAACATATTTATTTAAAATAAAATTATATAAAAATAAATTAATAAGTTTTGTAATTATTAAATTTAAATTAATATACTTATAGTAGATGTCAAATGCACTTATACAAACCAATCACATGACAATTATTTTGGGACCTGTATATTTGAATATCCTGTATAAATGAATATTAAATTTGTCTACCAACCATATTCATTTAGACAGGATTGACTGTAAATCAAATAATTATTTATTAAAAAATATTAAATCAAATCTTTTTGTAACAAATTATATACTGTATATTATAATATATATGGTATGAAACAAAAAAAATCAAAAAATATATAAATTTTTATTTTTTGTAATATTTCAATAACTAATTAATAAAATAAGATAAAAATTTACAATATGTAACAAAATTTTTTGGAATATTTCATTTATTTATTATTTAAAAACCATTGTATAAAAATTAATAAAAAATATATTAAATGAAGTTAAAAATCTAAAGATTTTATTAATATAAAATTAATAATTAATTCTTTTATTTTCTTTTTCAATTATTATTTCACATCTCTCTTTTATTGAATCTATAAAATTATTTAAAAAATTATTTAAAATTTTATTATATTCTTTTATTATAAACTGTTCTAATTTTGAAATATTTTTAAGTAATCTTAATCTATATTTCTTTTAATAATAGCTCAAAGATTTTCAATAGGATTTAAGTCTGAACTATTAGAAGACCAATCCATAACTTTAGAAAATAATCCATGTTGCACAAGACATTAGTGTCAGTATAGTACTTTCCTTTAAAGCTTCCTTATTCGATAACCAACAGAGAAGGGGAAGGAATAGTGAACTGGGATTGATTAAGATGAAGCATAGTCCAGTCTATGCTTTCAAATGTATGGGTGGTTTTATGGCTTCTTTCATAGATGATCATCATAATACCATCCAGATGATTATTACATCACTATACCTTTTAACAGAAAAATCACAATCTTAAAACATCTACTGGATTGGTATGTAAAATGGCTTCTCATAAGAAACAGCATATAATTGATTATGGTGCCAGATACCATATTAATTCTATTTAACTACCTTCATATGAGGTTGAACTGATATCTTGTGATTTGATCTGTGGAGCACTAACCACTATGCTATGGACCCATAGATCAGTATTAAAAAAATTTTATTAATATTATATTAAATATATAGTATATATAATAAAATTAAATTTAGATATTTTTTGAAAGAATAAATATATATCATGTTAGCATAAAAATTGTAGTAGGGGAACATGACGTGACATGTGGGGCCTGGCACAATACCGCATGGGAGATCGATCATGCATAGGACTCCTAACGATACCACTTCAATACCTGTTCGATACCAGTTCGATACTTAAATTTATTATAAATTCATATGAGTGGGTTACAACCCATATATTAAATTTACTATAGATCAGTACCATTTCGATACCACTTCGGTATCAGTTCGGTACTTTTTGGAGCCCTAATCATGCATCAATCATGCATAACCGATGGGCGCAAAGTTTGTCAAAGTTTGGTAATTCTGCATTACGTGACGATAGATTTAGAGATGCGTCACAATCATGTATAAAAATAGCAGCAGTATCCAATTATAATGTATAGGTCACGATAGACAATAAAATAACGAATTAATAAAAATCCAATTGTGTGCTAGTGCAATGATAATTAATAAACTTACCTTATTTGTCTCTAAGTCATCCTAGAAAGAATCCACAAGCCCTGCAGTTTGGTAGCGAAGAATTAGAAGAGGAACCAACCTAGAGAAGAGGAAGATAAAGATAATTATCACCACACGTACCTTTGGTATTGCCAGCGACATAGATCCACTCTTCCAACGTCGTACGAGTCTTAATCTGGATTAGCGACAGACTCGCCGTTGAGAACAACAATCAATACCAATTCTTTATTAATATTTAATATCTAAATATCATATCAAATGTTTTCTATATATAGACTTAATACTGCCTATTGATTATTTCTAGTAATAGCCTACCTATTTACCTTTGTTAATCTAATTATACAAACTTAAATTATTTAAATAAATTCATACATCGAATGGAACAAATTTAGGAGTAAAAAATTCTATCACCAGTTTAAACTTACCTTTTTACTAGGTTCAGATTTACAACCTTATTGCTACTCATAATTAGAGAGTATATATCTTGCTAAATTAATTAAAATATCTGAATAATTTGTTTAATACTTTTTATCTGAAATCTTGAAAAAGATATTATATTCTTTATATCACCTGTGGCTTCAGATTTTCTTTTTCATTAGGTTCTCTTCTTTTTAAACAAGTATAAGATTAGGATAGCTTTAGGCTAGGATATTTTTTTATATTATGAATTTGTTATACCAAGAGATATAAGTTTTTATAAACTTTTTATCAGAGTTAGACCAGAAATCTTTTCTTATACAATCTTTTTTGCTTCAACCTGTTTTTAGCCTGTGATTATCAGAAAGACCTGAGG